GCGTTTTACTTTGATTGTTTAGAGCTTCGGTTCTATACAAATTGCACCCATATCGTAAATCAAGATTTGTTTTGCTAAGAGAAATATTCCTATGGGATTCTTTTAAAAGACTTAAATAAAAGTAGAAAGTCGTTTGCCGATCTTGAGACGAAGGCAAACCGTGCCAAGAAAGATTTAAACGAAAGTAGAATGACTTAACCAAATTCTACTTAACAATATTCATTCAACAAATTGGGTGGATCAAAATGACCAATACATTACAACGGTTATAATGACCAAGTGTTCTAATACATTACAAAGGTCAAACCCTCATTACACTGATCCCTTTCTCTTAGACTGTTACTGTTTCTTTTGTGTAGTATATCTTATGCGATCCTAAACTGCAAGTTTTGTGGATGGAGCTAGGTCTTTTGCTGCCCGACTACTTTCACCACTACATCATGTCCAGCCACGTCAGGTACACCTTCGTCATTATATTCACGTTGTAAATTTTCCATCCTGGCTTCTATGTCATCCATATCCACAGGCACAAACTTAGGCAACGTTTCAAATGCGTTGTTAACGCAATTATAAACTTCAGGATACCACTTTTGTTTAAGTGTAAGTGCCTCTGTTAACATGATTGTAGATACCTGAACTGCACTAACCTGTAAAAACAAGATAAGTAATTAATATATTTAAATAATTTCATGGAACTAATAGCTAAGTACAAGACTATAAAATTTGTAGATCAATATAAACATACCAACTGGTCCTCATAACCTCGAGGGCTCATTATATACCATGGTTCATGAGCAAGAACCACATCTTCTTTTTCCTTATTATGAGGTTGCAATATGTCTTTGGGTAGGTTAGCGACATTATGCATTATAGGATGAAACACTAGGTTGTACCAGGCATTGTACTCCTCTGAGGGCAACCCATTGTTGGTATCTTCTTCAATATCAGGCATCATGCGATCATGGCGAGTCAACCAGTGTTGGATTTTGTTTGCATTCACAGTTCGTCAATCTGGTTGTCCACCTTATCTGCTAGACCTCTTAGATTTATAGGAATGCCATGTTTAGCTCCAAATTGCCGGTGTACATGATTTGGCATGTATGGCTCATCAATATCATCAAATATGAGTGTCGTATGCACATTGCAGATTAATATGCCTCCTGCCTGTCATCTGAAATGACCTCATCAGGCTTGAAATAGCGATTCCATATCTTATATGATATGCAATCAGTCAATAAAAATAATAATAAATACTTAAATATATTTGAAAGTAATCAATATCAAATTATACACTAACCTCATTAGGTTTGAGGTTATCAAATTCTTGTCCGATGGAAAGCATTAGGTTATGTGGATTGCCATGATAATTCTTCGGTGGCTCCCATCTTTTGGCCCTAGGCATATTTGGAGAGATACTATGCGGTATGGGCCTCATATGCATAATATGCTCATACGACCAGTACTGCAATAAATTAAGATATGATAAGTATTAAATATTTTAGGAAAGCAGTCTACACTATTGCGTTAAAAAAAGTTACCTGCATGAGAGTGGTTGAACCACTAAAATGTCTTCGCTGGAAAGTACAAGCTTTTCCAAGAGAGCGATAGAGGAATACAAAGGCTGCAGCATAGAGGAATGCAAAGGCTGCAGCACCCCAAGCATATCTGTTAGCTCCCTCAATATCTTCAAAAATTGCAAGGACCTTTTTGGCACTGTTGAAACTGATGCATCAGCGAATATGGTGATGCTGATAAGGAAGAGCAGATATGTTCGAGTATATCTATAAACTTGAACATCGATTGCATCAGGTGGTAATTCTCTAAAATTCCTCTTCAACCATGTATGCCTTCGGACTGACAGGTTGCCATCAGGGACTATACCCAAATTGCCTTCTATCTATTCTAGCAAGTTACTGATAGGACGACATATAACTGGCTCGCCATCTACAACCAGTCCGAATATCTCATATATATCAAATAGCATCGGTGTCATCTCATCAATATGAATGTTGTAATGGAATGTATTGGTCTCAGAACGTCACCTCTTTACATTAGCTGAGACCAAAGGATGATCAATTCGGCCTGGCTGAATAATAGATAGTGCACCCATCACAGACGTGTTTACTAATTAAACTTGCTCTTATATTAGATGCCATTCAT